CTGCCCTGTATTAATCTCTCAAGCCTTCTGCATACAAATAGAGGTCATTTATTAAGTGAAATGACATTTCCATCATGTGCAAATACAGAAGAAAGACCAACACCGGTGCTGACATGTCTGTACCGTAAATATGTGGCTTGAATCAGCAGCCAGTTAGCAAAAGAGACTGGAAACAGGGGAAAACATTTGACAGTGAGCCCCGGCTCTGTCCAAAGGTACCAAACATCACCTACCAACACCTTTAAATCTCAGGTTAACATGTTCTACTGGGTTTGTTTCTTCCACACACAAACTGAGTTGAAAAAACAGCAATTTGCCATTTGATTTTTGCTTTAAAACCAACTAGTTGCTGGCTCAGTTTATTGCATATTTACCATACAGACATGGAAGAGGAATAACTTTAATTAATGCCAAGCAAAAAAATGTCAAATGTTTCTCTGGTTTTGCCTCATGAAATGTGACGATTTGCTGCTTTTGTGTCACTGTAAATGGAATAACTTTGGGTTTTGCACTTTGACAATACAAGCAATGTGAAAATGTTACCTTGGATTCTGGATGCTTTTCATAATGTTCTGACATGCCATAGATGAAACTTGATAATGAAAATAATTAGTTTTAGCCCTAACCAACAAACAGGACATTCACAGATGAGTCAACATCGCTGGAAAACCAACACGTCTTTGCTACTGTACAAAGACAGCAGCACACAGCCAGGCAACATGCAGTAGCACCACTCCTGCAGCTATTGGCGTTGTATGTAAAGCAATCGTGCCTTCCTCTCGAGCGAGGCGCTGTTCTCGTGGTGAGAGCACCTACGTATCTGACGCACAGCATCTGTCCTCTCATTACAGAGGAGAGGGCAAAATCAATAGGAACTTAGCACCGGGATGCATCACTGAGATAACCACACGCTCAGCACTTTCTCCTGACTGACACTTGATTCTTATTCATAGAGAAAGAGCAGACAGGGGGAAACGGAGGATCTCAGAGAAGGAGAGAGGCAGTCTACATATAGCATATACTCCAAGTGAGAAGAAAGTGCACATAAAACACACGAGAGATGGTAAAGTGACAGATCATATACTCGTTGGTTTAACAAAAACAGAAAACCCAGTATTCTTGCAAACAGTGTAATTCTTCTGCAAAGAGATTCAGACTCACGAAAGCGGCAGCAGATGAATATAGTAGGATGGATGTCGCTGCTGCTTCCGAGCTCTCGATCTTAATCTCCCACTTGTCTTGTGTGACATGGCTGTGCATTTACATGGAAATCCAGCTTGTAGCTATATAAATCGCACTATTAACTGGTGACAGGAGCTGACAAAGCCTTATGATACATACGTACGGGGCCAGAGGAGGTGTACACGCACGAGATAAAACCTCCCCAGTGAATGTTCCACACTTGTCATTCAGCCAGGAAGTGCCGCGTTGCAAAGTT